TGGCGGGCGACCCACCCGAGATGCCGGTGCGGAGCGCCTGCCGGTGCCCTCCGGGAGGAGGAGGAGGAGGAGGAGCCGCCTCAGGGACCGCCGCCGCTGCCGCCGCCTCCTCCTCCTCAGGGACCTCGGCCCGCCTGGAGCCGCCGCCGCCCATCAACACGGCCCAGCCGGGCGTCACCACCAGCCGCCTCTACAGTGGCGCCAAGTTCCGCGGGCAGCAGCGCTCCAAGGGCAACGCCTACGAGGTGGAGGTGGTCGTCCAGGTCAGGCCCGGCCCGGCCTCGGCGGTGGGGGGGGGCATAGAGGGTCGGGGTGGTGAGGAGGAGAAGGGGCCCTGGCATCATCCTTCCGAGCTCCTGGGACGGCGGCGTCTGCTTGGGAAAGAGGAGGAGGATAGTGGTGGTCGCACTCATGGCAGGAGTGGGGAGGACGGTCGTGGGAGTCGTCATGGTGGGGGTGATGAGGATGATGGTAGGGGTAGTCATGGTGGGGATGATGGTGGTCGCAAGGGGTGCTTGCCCTCCTCCCTCCAGGCTGTCTCAAAGGGTTGGGGACCTTTCCCTGGAGAAGGGAGCCTTTTCCCTGGTCCTGAGGTGGGGCTGTCGCCATGCCCAGTTGGGAAGGACGGGGATGATAGGCATACTAGTAGCAGTCAGAGGGAAGGGAGGCCCTGGCATCATCCTCCAAGGGTCATTGAGGTGGTGCTGCTGTCACCCCCAGCTTGGTTGCCTCCCCATAGGGGAAGGGGATGAGGAGAATCATGGGAGTCCTGATGGTCGCTCTCCACTTCCTCACCTCAGCACTTCCACTATACCCACCCTGGGCCATCACAAATGATACAATATTTGCGAAAAGGCCTGCCTGCAAACTGTGTCCTTGTTGCTTCCATCTGTTGCTGGCACATACACCTGTGGGCAATGGTTTGCATAAAGTTGCATATTCTACTTAATGTGAGGAGTAATGTTTTGGGGAAGAATGAGAGGCTAAGGTTGAGGTGCTCTGGGTTCAAATCCCAGCTTGGCTGTGCAAAATGCTTGGGTAAGAGTGGCAATGGTGAAGCCACTCCTTGAATATTTCACGTGCCTTGGAAACCTTGCTTTGAGATGCAGGGGGTGTAGTGGTCAATGTCATGCTAGGATGCAGGAGACCTGGGTTTGAATTTTGGCTCCTTCATGGTACCATATTTGGGTTGTGTGTGCTTCCTTGAACATCTTGCCTACCTGTTTGTCTTCATACTGTTGACTTTGAGTGTATGTGTAAGAAACAGCAGAATCAGTCTTGTGCTTATCTAATCCAGCATTTTGAATATTGTGATGGGTCAAAAAGCTCTCTAGGGTTCCAGGCAGGGGTTTTTACTAGCACTGCCCGGAGATTCCTAATAGATTCTATCTTCTCCAAGCAGTGAACAGACAGAACCCCACTTAACTGCTGAAATCAGGCATCATCCTGAGTGTATTCATGGTGACTTGGTGCAGTCAATCCCAGCCACAAAATCCCCTGTTTCTCTGTCGCTCTTCTGGGCTTGGTGACCTTGTGCTGGATATTTCATGCCATAGATGCCTTTTCTTACCCTCTTCACTCTCTTGTTTATCTCCCACCCTGATTATTAAAATTGAAGGGTTTTTCCTGGATTGCGACAGAGAATGGGGGAGAAGAAAGGGGGGGGGAAAGAGATTATAGTTTTGCATAGAAATGCTGTGATGTGAGGATTAGATTGGGAGTGTTGTTGTGATTTTCCTTTTGAGGCAAGGCACAGGGAGAGGCGTCTGTGCAGTTTTCTGCCTCCTGTGCCAAAATAATTTTGGCTAGTTTTGGATATTATTAAGGTAGATTTTGTTTGGATGTCAGGATCACTTTCTTAACAGTAACAGCAACAGCAGTTTGAGAGTACTGTAGAACTAATGGCCTGGAGACATAGTGGCCTCTTCTTTGTGGACTGTCTTCAGAGAGAGGCTGGGCAGCATTTGAGTCAAAACGTGGAGGGAAACATGGGGATGAAGCAAACAGCCTGACCCAGGGCTGGAGGGCCTAAACACCACAGCTGCGCAGACTATAGTTTGAGCAGGTTCTGTCTGCTGGGTCTTCAGGAGGAAGAGGTGAAGCTTTACACCTGATCCTTCATGCATTGTCTGGGCATGAAGGATCAGGTGTTGGCATGGCAGAGCACCACTCCATTGGAAGGATCTCCTTCTCTTCTTGACCTGCATTAATGCTTTTCTTCCATAGAGCCCAGACTTTTCCTTGACTGTCTTCCATCCAGACCTGCATTGTGTTAGCTGTAGAGCCACAGTCACGTGACTTCGGCCTGTTCTTAAACACGGACAAATCATGCCACCGTTGCAAGTTCAGGAGCCATGAATAGCATTCACTGATCATTGTTCTTCCTTGCTTCCGATGCTATATTTGCCAGTAGGACAAGTGAGGTGTTCAACTTTGATTTTTATGTAGCTAGAGGAATCATTCTTTCCAATACTGATGTCTCTGTTGCTTCTGCAGCTTAAAAAAACCCCTCAATTACCACCACTTGGCCCAGATTCATCATGCATGCCCCTACAGAGGCAGGGAGGCCTTTGAGGTCTCTGGCTGGGTGAAAATGATGGCACACAGGGCAGAGTGTTGCTGCCTGTGCTTTCTCTCTTCCTGAGCCACCTCAGTGTTTGGCCAGTCAGTCAAGAAGATGAAGGGCCGCAAAGCAACATTTGTTTGAAAAGAATTGACATGATAAAGCTCCTCTGAGGAAGTAGGTAAAAAAGCAGGCAAGGGTGGTTTAGGTGAGTGCCGTGGAGTTTGGAAGCAAGGTTGGGCCTCTCCTGGAGTGCCCGAACCTCTGGAAACAAGGTGCTACCATCCAGAGCACTTGAAATATCTCCCCATTCTTGATTTACAAAATCAAAGCCGCACCCGACAGTTAAAAGTTTCCATGTGCTTCAGCCCTCTCAGGCTAAACAGCAGGAAAGACATGGATCAACGTGAGTTATTAAATGAACCTTGATGATACCTGAAGCTGGGCAACCCTGGCTGGTTCCCTTCAGGACCTGGCTTTGTAGCCTTCCTGGAGGCATCTTGCTGGCTGCAGTGGAAATCACGATGCTAGGCTGCTTGGTTCTGTGGTCGTCTTCTGGAATGCTTTTTTAATGTCCACTCATTTGCAATGAATCTTTTTTAGTGCTTGCTGTTTGTAGAGGACTGTTCAGTAGCTTGTTTTTCCTGGGGTTCTGTTTAATAAGCAGGAAATATTTTGATGTAGCTCCTTGTTTTTATAATGGAAGTGGAGTAACGGAAGGTTTTCTGTTCACTTTCAGCATGTTGACATGGAGAACTCTTATCTCTGTGGATACTTGAAGATTAAAGGCCTTACAGAGGTATGTATTCAATTCAAAGAATTTTAGGATCTGTTAGCTTAGTGCATGTCATCCTTTGGAGTTAAAAAAAAAACTCACAGACAAATTGTTTACAAGTTGCCTGTGTTTTCCTTATGTTCCAACTTTATTTACCTGCAGGAATACCCAACCCTTACAACTTTCTTTGAAGGGGAAATAATCAGTAAAAAGCACCCATTTTTAACCCGCAAGTGGGATGCAGATGAAGACGTGGATCGTAAACACTGGGTGAGTATCTTGTTAGCGAGGCAGCAAAACTGTGCCTTGTCTACTTCTGACTGCAGAAGGGGGCTCACGCAGTACACTGCCCCTTAGCACATGGAAGTTCCCTCAGAAGAAGGGTTGTAGTTTCGTCTTCTTAGTTTTCTGGCTGTCTGTGTGAGGCAATGCTTTTTGGGGGTGAAGGAGCATTTGACAGTAGCCTGAAGTCATATAACTCGGGCATGTTTTCACTCTTTTAGCCTGTGGGAAAATAAATGTCAGGCTTCAGGTGCTCTGTGGCAGTTCTGTTCCATCCAGACTTTCTGGGTGGCTGTGAAGAGGTTTCTTCTTCATAGGACTCTCTTTTTTTAAGGGTAAGTTTGGGGTTTTTTTGTCTCTGCTGGCTCCTGTCTTGAAGAAGGCTGCAGAGTCTGTACAGAGCAGATGTTTGGCGCTGAAGCCAAAAAGTTGTGCTCTTTGGGAAGGTCTGCAGCAGTGCTGTGATCAGCAGAAAAAGAACGCCTGTAGCTTTTTTCTGGAAAGCAGTTCCTTCTGTGGGTACTGTCTGTGGTTTAATTTAGGTTGGAGTGGCACATACCTTTTCTCTCGTGGGTAAGGGACCTGTCCTCTTTCCTTCCAGGGGAAATTCCCAGCCTTTTACCAGTATGCAAAAACATTTAACTCGGATGACTTTGATTATGAGGATCTGAAGAACGATGACTTCGTCTTCATGAGGTGGAAGGTGAGTTCTTTGCAAATATTTATAGGGGGCCCTGGCAGATTGTAACAAAACGATGGCTTCCCATCCTTAAAGTGGAGGTCAGTCTTGTACGGTTTCTGGAAAATCCTGAATGTCCCATGTCTGTAAATAAACTGAGAGTTGACGTAACATGCTTCGTTAGCATTTAATAAAGAAAAGCACAGTGTTTTTATTTCACTTGCTACATACACGCCTAAGGTCTTGAAGGCAAAAGGAGACCAAATTGAAATCCTTGTTTGGGGAAAGATGTAAAACTTCTTATGACCAAGATGTTTTGCGTCAAAGTTTTATTACTAGTATGCTTTAAAATACTGGGATGGCAACTCAGACTGCAGCACATCCCAAAGGGAGTTCTGCTACAAGTACATGTGCATGCTTCCCAGGAACAGAAAAAAAAGCTGATTGCAACCAAATTTGTGTGTGACTGTTTCCATATCGGGTGGAGGTTTGTAGAACAATGCATGCTTAGAAATAGGACCTTTGTGAAATTAAATGCATCCAGCAGAAAGCCTTTGTTGTGGGTCGTTGAAGAGAAATAGAAAAGTAGACCCTGCTTTGGCTTTCATCTGTCTACCTGTGTTTTTGTGAACTTCTGCAGGAGCAGTTCCTGGTCCCTGATCACACCATTAAAGACATCAGCGGTGCTTCCTTTGCTGGGTTTTATTACATATGCTTCCAGAAATCTGCAGCATCTATAGAGGGCTATTACTATCACAGAAGCTCAGAATGGTAAGAGTTCCCTTCTGCGGATAGGGCTTACTGGAGGGGTTTTCTTTGTCATGTGGCAAACTAAACAAGGGCTGTTCAGACACACTGTGCCAAGGAGACCGGCGTTCTGGCTATGTTAGAACTGGGGCAATGTAATCAAATTGAGGCCTGTTTTTATCTCTCAATGCAAGCGTCCCTCTGGCAAGCCATAGCTCCACCCCACTTTCAGAGATCAAGAACCAACCCCCCCCCCCCCCNGGAACGAGAGGTCCTGAGGCTGGTTTGTAGATGTTGGAGCAGCCAGGTGGTGTTGTGGTTGCAGCTGGAACCTCTGTCGTACGTATCTTCTTCACAGGGGCCCATGTAGGTTCACTGGAGTAGCTTAGGGATGTTTCAGTATTGGTAAGAAAATGTGAAACTTTCCAGTTCTTAGAGGCTTCTCGGTTCAACAGCTTCTGTGCTGAGGTGTGGCATGGATTGGCAAAGGGCATCTTCTCCGTGGCCAAAGGAGAGCAGTGGGATGGGTGTGTGTGGAATCCTGGATGTGTTGGATGGGTGGCGAGAGCTCCCGGATGGTCCTGGTTTGAAAATAGCTGCTTTGGCAGAAAACAGGTCTGCTTTGTTCCATTAAAACCCTTCTGTTTGCTCCCCTAGGTATCAGTCCCTGAATCTGACTCACGTCCCAGAGTACAGCGCACCCATTTACGAGTTCCGGTGACGACGACACCAGGAGCAGCACCAAGAGACGGCCTGTGGGGCCAGAGGGGGAGAGAGAGAGAGAGAGCACGGGCGCATGTGAGAGAGAGAAAGCGAGAGAGAGCATGCCCTGAGACAACTGTGCTGTCCCTGTCGGGGCAGGAGACTCCAGGCTCTCCTCCTGCCTGGCAGCTGGACTGGTGTGAGAGCATGAATGTGAAACCCAGGGGGTTGCTGGAGCCCGACCCTTCCTCCAGCTGCGTGGCAAAGTCACTACTCAGACCTGGTTCTAAAGCTCCTGTTCGATGCACTTTCTTGTACTTGCACAGCTCATCTCTCCATCACAGTCCTCTCCTCCGGCGCCGCCTTTTGGAGGGAAGAAGTGGCCCCGGGCCTACCTGGATTCCCTTCCGTGAGAAGAGAACCCCAGTTGCCATCCACTTCCATCCTTCTACCTTTTGCTTTAGTTATGGGTTCTGTTTAACAGCTGTCATCCTGAGAGGTCCTTTCCTTTCAGGCCCGATCATCACTCGCAGGTGGTTGTTCTCTTGTGTACGTGTTGCGGGTAGTTGCGGCGTCCATTTAAGGAAGCCTTTGGCCCCAAGGAGGAGAGGCGGCCAGAGGGTCTGCTCCCGTCGGCTGACAAAGCTGCCTCTCTCGGGCGCGCGCACTAGACGTGTCAGCAGTTCTCTCAAGAGCACCAAAGGGGAGCTAGCTTAAAACAGTCTGGAGGAGTGGGAAATACAGTAACAATGATGCAGATGTTGTGACCTTAAAGGTGTGTGTCTGTGTGTGGAAACCCACAACCTTTAAAGGACTTTTTTTTTGGTGGCGTGTGTGTGGGGGGGGAAGGGTTATTTGGTGGCCCATTTTTCCCGTCCACTATCCACAGGGTTGTATGTATAGCACTTGCACAAAGGTTGCTTCATAATATATTTTGCTGGGGCTGCTGGTTCTCCCTGCCCCAGGGTGAAGCCACTGAAAGTCAGTGTTGAGTGATGGTGGTGTTCTACTCTGTGTAACAACCTAGCAGTGCTGACACCCGAATAAGCACTTGTCTGTAGTGTGCAAATTGCGCTTCTCCTGACACACGCTCCACTTCATCCTAAAGAGAATATTTGGCATGGGCAATGCATTTTACCTGAGAAAATAGCCTCCATAAAAATTAATAATAATAAACTGTTCTCCCAGGACGTAAACATCTTCAGTAACTTCAGCCTTATGGGCCAGACATTCGTTGGGCCTTGTGTGCGCGCATGTGTTGCTCATAAGTTGCTTTTCTGTTTTAACATGGCACTTAAACACTGGGTGGGGTGGGGGTTAGAACCTACTTGCATTCCACTTTGGCTGGTCCAAGGCACAGTAGCCTCTCCTCCACCCTTTGATTTTGTAGGGGAGAAGGTTGCTTCGCCTGTGACTGTGTAGTTCCTGCATCCAAAAATGACCCGCCCTTTGCAAAGGCTTCGGTCCACCCCTGAGAGTACCTGGAATTTACCAGGTAGTCTGGAATGGGTTGGACAAAGGAGGTTGCATAGAGGAAATGGATATTCTCCCGAGAGAGTGGCCAAAGGGAACATTGCTACGGCGATGCCACCACGTTGTGAGTTCAGTCTTGTTTCATTTGGCGTTGCTCTCATTTTTAGTGGCTTGGATTTCAGCAAGCAGGATTGGTCATTGGGGTCACGGAGCGTGCGCGCCTCCTCTACACCCATGGCTGTGGCATCTTGGTGGAGTGCATTAGAGTTAAGTACAGGTTATGGTACTAGGAAGGGATTTAACTTTGCATTGGCTTGAGAAAAAGTTTCTAGCCCTCTGTGATCAGCTTAAAGGTTCTGATGCACCAAGGAGGCAGAAAGCTGGCCGAATCCAGTTACCGTGCTTGCCCAAGTTGGGCGTGGAGACGCCATGGCACTGTGCTACTCCATTGCCTCTCCCCCTGGCCAAAGCCAGAATTCATTGTGCCAGGAGAAATAAACGCTCTGTCCCGCTGGTTTAATTGGTAGTTAATGCGGATTGCAGAATTCTGCCTTTCTTGGTGCAGATATGTACTGATCTCCATGCATAGGGCACAGCTCTGTCCTGCATTTTCCAGAACAAAGCCTCTCCCTAATTACCATTAGTTTCTTATATACCCTCTTAACTGAGGCTTGCTGTTTTCTTTCTAACCACGTGCTGTCTCTTGCAGTGGCTAAATTGCTGATGGAAGCCTTAACAGGAGAGTGGGGTGGGGGGAGGATTTCAAGTGGCACGTGTGTCTTTAGAGTCAAGTGTTTTTATTAACCCCAGATATCTCTGCAGGGCACCGCCTTCCTTCCTCTTCCTCTGTCCTCCCCCCTCCATAATAACGTGAATCCGTTTTGAGTCTCCTGCTGTCGAGGAGAGGGCAAGATGTCAGGGCAGGGTATCACTGCCCACGAAGGCTTGGGTGGTGTGAAAAAGGGCAGATGCAGCTGTGTTTTGCTTGGCCTTGATGAATAGTGGGAGGTCAAGAAGGTGCTTTTGCTGGGGGGGGGGAATTCCTGAGAAGGAAAAGGACTTGGCAGCTTTAGATTTGATTTGTTGAAACAAGCCCTGCGTTGCTCAGCATCTCATTCAGGTGAAACAGACTGAAACAAGAATCGAGGGGGGTGCTGGGTTTATGGCCCTCCACTGCATTTTCCTCAACCACCATGCTGATTCATAAGATCACAGTTCATGCACGGTGTAAGGGAGGTTCCAGAATATTGGGGGATTACCATTCCAGAGGATATCTCATATTCAACCGCAGCGCCTTCCCATCTACTGCTTTCTTATCAAGCTGCTTCTGAACAAGTCGGGCGCCCCATGCATTGAGATAGATGTGAGAACTGTGCCTTTGCTTGTTTTCATTTAAAGAGACACAACTTGAGAAAAGGGTTCCTTTCTTCAGATTGAGTTTAAAAGGGACTCATCACAGGAAGGAGTAAATGATTCCCTGGAGGTCGCAGCAGAACCCCAAGGCTTGCCTTGTTGGTTAAAGATAGATATATGGGGGGAAGGGGGGGAGTGAAAAGCAGTCAAACATTCTCTGACGGCAGCTCTGGTATAACGTCCGAGAAGTAGCATACATGCTTTGGCCCTTTCAGTGTGTGTGAATGTGTTACACTAGAAATGTGGGGATCGTGTTGCAGCGCTTCCATCCGCCCACTTTATTTCAATATGCAGAACCAACCACAGTCCATGTAGTGACACATGCACCACTGAATTCAACTGGTGGAGATTCCCAGTTGCATCTGCCCAGGAAGACTTTCGACTTTGGGGCGGTGTGTGTGTTGGTTGGTTGGTTTTCCTGAGCGCCCCTTGGAGGTGTGTGAGAAAACTCTTCAAGCTGAAAGTAGTTCCAAAGGCTGTTTTTAGAAAAGGGCATGGCTCTGAGGGAATAAATTAAAAATCTGGGTGCTGGGGCAGCCTCACATGTGTTTGAAATCACTTTTTCAGCTCTCATCAGCGGGCAGACTGAACAGTATTTTCAAACCTAATGAGCCTTTAGATTTTAAAGTCTGAGAAAAGTTCTGCAACTAGTCACAAAGTCCATCTTTCCCAAACGGCACTTCAAACTGCCAAGGATCCCTCCATCGTAATCCATGGTGCACCAAGGGGTTTCTTTTTTCTTTTTCTTTCGTAAATTAACTTAGTGTTTCGTTGGCAGAATCGGTCCTATTTCTGTTTCCTGTTATAGGGGAGTTCAGGGCACTGAAGCCTATGAGACAGAAGGCCCTTTGGGAGCAAGAAAAATGTGCCGCCTTTTTCTTGAGCTACTGACAGGGCCGTACTGACAGGTATAATTCTGAATGGCTGAAGACCTCTTGTAAGGGCCAGCACTTGATAATAATAAAGCAGGGGGCTCCTTTGCTCTCCAGAACGGAGTAGCGACTCCTGTTGTCTTACTCCTCCACCCTGCTAAGTAAACTGTCGGATGTTAAAACAAGAGAGCCAGAGAGTGTCTTGTACTTGTAGAAGAGGTTCACAGGTTGGGTTTCTCAGAGTCACGAGCGGCTTCTGGGGCAAGATCTTCCAAATCTTACTGGAAAAGGTTTTATAAAGCTAACTTGTAAATCAGAGTATTAAAGAGTATTTATAGACAATATAAATTGCAGAAAAGGGGCTGAGTTTGCCAGAGTTATCAGTGTCCACATTAAAAGAACATGTATTTAATAAGGCTCTGTGTGTTCTCTTGTGTGTGTGTTCTCCTTCACGGCAGTGCATAAAAATAAACTTTACAACATGTAGACAGGGCTCAGCTCAAATATATAGCTGGTAATTATAACTGGGAACAAGGGATCACCTGAATCTTGCAATCAGGCCCTTGTGATAGGCAACCTGTGGCCAATACATGTTATATTTTAAGGATGAATCCTTGGAGCCAGGTGATCACCAGGCAGGATGAGAGGGCAGTGGGACCCAGGAGGTGCTGAGCACCATTCATCACAGACCTGCTTCACAAGACAGAATCAACCAACACATTCTGTACCGTAATGCGTGTCTGTGGCTCCTCTTTTAACTTAGCTGCCAACCTGAGACAAGCCCATCATCTGTCTAGCCTGGTGCTGTCAACTCGGGCTGGCAGTGCTTCTCCAAGCATTTTGGGCAGGCTTCTCTCCCAGCCTGACCTGAAGATCTTTGGTGTCTCCAGGGGTCTCCCATCCAAGTAGGGACTCAATCCAGATGTGCTGAGGATCTGAAAACAAGATGAGAGCAGGGTGTGCAAGGCGGTTAAAGGTACAGGAAGGCTTTCCCGAAGGATGCCCAGCTGGTTCTTCAGATTCAGCTGCTCGTTTTTGCAACATGAGCGAGGAAGCCGTGACTGAAATCCTGAACGAAACGCCTGATCATGGCTGTGTTTACTCAAGTATGCACCTCTCCTCTGAATTAAGGCCAAGGAAGGCCCCTGTGCGATTCTGGCATATGGGTGAGACTGTTTGTATCACATTTCCAGAGGATTTAAGTTTTTCTGCCCAGCAAAGTTAATTCAGCCTGTTAAGGAGGTTTTTTTCCCCCACCACCCCCAAAATCTAGATTTCCCAATAAACGGAGGTGCCCTAGAGCTGCCTGGCAAGGTAACCTCGCGCAAGGAATAAGGAGAAAGTCGAGGTCTGGTGGTTTAGAAGAGCTCTGCGGGGCTGTCGGACAACTGACAACCACCCTAGAGGGTAGACTTCTCTTATCCCTCGACTGCAGACTTTCCAGATCTTTCACGTCCAGACACGTGAACCAACTATGTGGGATGCCAGAGAGGAGAACAACAACTGGAGATGGGAAGGTCTATTTTCTGTCCCCCCCCCCAGGAAAACGGGGGGTGGGGGAAATAAGGAGTGTGGAACGTGTTGTTTTCCAATGATGGCTAATATGCCTCTGACACGGTATTCAAGCTCTCTCTAGGCAACGTGAAGGAGGCCGGACGTTGTAGAGGAGGAAAAGCAGCCGGAACCAAAAGAGTCGGGCACCGGTTGCCCAGGGGGACGGAGGTGGGCGGTGCCCCTTGGGAGGGACCGCTTCCGGGGCGCAGGAGGCGGCGACTTCCGGAGCTGCCGCGTCCTCCCCGCCCGGGGAGCCTCTTTCGCCGCGATGGGGATCCTGGAGAAGATCGCGGAGATCGAGAAGGAGATCGCCCGGACCCAGAAGAACAAAGGTCGGGCTCGGCGGCCGGGGAGGGCAGCTCCTCCAGGTGCTGAATGTCCGCCTGAGCAGGAGGTCTCCCCTGGTTTGGGCGGGAGGGTGGGTGGGGGAGTGTGTATTGCCCTTGGTGGATCACAGTTCCCATCATCCCCAGCCGCCGTGTGCGTGTGCTGTGCCCTCGAGTCAGGAGCCGGCTCAACAGGGCTTTCAAGGCAAGCGAGGGATTGAAGGAGCGGCTTTTGAGCAGGAGCGGGCTTCCCTGGCCACGTGGGGATTCGAACCCAGGCCTCCTGAGCCTTCGTCTGCCCTTCCACCCCACTGCATCGCAAGGGGAAGCCTGCCCTGCCCTGCCCGGAGGGGGGGTGATGCCTGTTAGGGGTTGCAAGTCCCGTAACTGCTGGGGAGCCAAAGGGGGCTCGGTCTGTGAGCTCAAGAGGTGCCCTGATCCAGGGTGGCGGTTGGAAGCTTGGGGACTTTTGCAAACCCAAATGCAAAACCGCTCTTTGCTTAAAAACATAGCTGGGCTCTTGACTCTCTCGGAGCCTTGTGAACGGCCGAAACCCATCCAAAGTGTGTTTCTTCCTAGCAGAAAGGAGCCAGAACAAAAGGAAATGTAGACCTTAAATCAGCCTTTCTCAAGGTTTCCCCCACCACCACCACCACCAGGAATGCAACGTGAAAAAAAGGATAGGCCAAATCAGGGGTGTATAGGTGGCATAACAGGCATTATAAGATGGTGTATGAAGAATGGCTTTTGGTCTGAGGCCCTCTTCAAATGGGCCAGGGTTCCCAGGGGTGAGGGGCATAATAAGACCCTCATTGAGAGCGGCTGCCTTCAGTTTTATGTGGGATACAAGGCTGATGACAGCTGCTTGAGTTATGGGGAATGTTGGAATAGGGGGGTGAGGAAAGATGTAGGGAGCAGCCTGGTATGGGACCAAATTGTGTAGTTATACCTGCTCTCATCTTGTCCCTTTTCATGTGCAGAACTTCTGCGGGGTTTCAGGTAAAGAAAACAGGGTGGCAGCTCCCCAGCGTTGCCAGGGGAGCCGCAAGAGAGCTGTTGAAACAGCCTCAGAGAGCAAAGAAGTCAGGTGCTTTGCACCACCGGCCCTGCTGTATTGCAGATTTGAGGAATTGTCCAAAATACCTTATTTTTCCTAGTTCTAGATAACACCTGCAGAGTCTGTACGAGGAGGGTGTGGAGTGGGACAAACTAAGCATGCCCTGACTCTCTTTGTAGAAATAAAGTGATTCTGTTGCTGGTTTAGCTCTTGAGTTGAATCTGTGTCGCTTCCCTTCTAGCCACCGAGTACCACCTTGGCCTCCTGAAGGCTAAGCTCGCCAAGTACAGAGCGCAGCTTCTAGAGCCTTCCAAAGCGGCCGCCGGCAAAGGAGAAGGCTTCGATGTGATGAAATCTGGAGATGCCCGGGTGGCGCTTATTGGGTTCCCCTCTGTGGGTAAGGTCAGTGACAACCGGAGAATCTCTGTTCTTGCGTCCGTGGCACCCCTCCGTAATTCCCACCTCCCTCTGAAAAATAAGTTTTATTCTAAAGGTCAGTAAGAATGTTAAAGTGAACGCATCAGTTCTACAGTGGTACTTGGAATGTATTTGTTACACAGCTTTGTATGTGCTAGGATATTTTATGCTGTGGCCGTGTTTCTCTTTGATGTCACTGAAAAGCTTTTTTAAAGTAAACCCACGTGTTAATCAAAAGAGTAAGCTCATGCTTTTAACAGACAAGGTGTATTTTGCACCTCTAATCCAATTGATATTTGAAAAAGCTGTTCAGAACAGTTATTTTCTAAAAAAGGAGCTGTGGTTAAACTGCAGTTCTGCAGCCAAACCTCTGCTCACGATGCAGATTCAATTGCGGGTAGCTGGTTTGAGACTGATTCAGTCTTCCAGCCCTCTGAGGCTGGTGAACGGAGTTCCCAGCTTGCTGACGGTGAGACACTCATGTGTAGCCTGCATAATTCAATTGTAAACTGCCCAGAGAGTGCTTTAATCTGTATGGGGCAATGTATAAGCAATATACTTTGCTTTTTTTAATTTTGTAAGTTAATGGGAAACTTGCATTGGCAGATCCAGTCCTTTGTCACAAATATAGGGATTTCTCTGGCTTGATGCTGGCGGTACTGATTTCTCTCTCCCCCCCCTTCCTTTTCAGTCTACCTTCCTGAGTTTAATGACTTCCACAGCGAGTGAGGCTGCTTCCTATGAATTCACAACATTGACGTGTATTCCTGGCGTCATAGAGGTGAGTTGCCTCTGGGTTCAGTTTTGCATGCTTGCTGTCACCCTGCGGTGCATGTTTGGATGAAACAGTGTGAACCGTTTTTGCAGCAGAATACACAGTGGCCTGCCTCTCTCACCTTGTGTATCTGTCTTCGTTATTTTCTTTCCTTCTTGCAGTACAAAGGAGCCAACATTCAGCTTCTGGATCTGCCTGGGATCATTGAAGGCGCTGCTCAAGGTTGGGATTTTGTTCTGTATTTTCACTGCTAGCGCTGCCTTAATACTGCCGAAAGACTGGGGGCATTCCAGTGGGGCTTAATAGCCTGGATCTTCATTTTATTCCTTTATTCCCCGTTTTATTCCTGTTCACTGAAACTGTGCCACTGCCTCCTCCTTGGTTGTTGAAACCTCCCTCTTTTTTATTCACCGACTTTGCATATGGAATTGGATACCTTCTCCTCTAAAATATATGTGCTTGTAGCTAGAGGGCAGGTGGGCTGCTATTATGCTGTATCACATTGGGTGCACACACGTGTGTGCATTTAAGAGAGCGAGGGAATAAGTATTTGTGTGATCCAGAAGTAGAAGATTGGGTTTCACGGCATCTTTACTGGGTCACTAAAGGTTACAAAGAAGATGCAGTTTTGAGTTCTTCAGCTTCTTATCTTGATTTCCTCTTGTCCTTTAGACAAAAGAGGTTTTGAACTCTTGGTTTCCTTCCATAACCCCAAATATACGCCACCTAAAGGAAGAGTCCTGGAAAATTCAAAACCTCACCTTAGTTATAGCTTTTTAGGGATTTTTTTTTTTAAAAAAAAAGGTGTTACCCCTGTCGGAGTTGCGAAAATATCATGTGTCTAGTCCTGATGGAGAAAATGGAGATGTGTCTTGTGAAACCACTCCTGCTGTTTCTTTTCTCTTGTAACCTGGCTGATGAAAATACCTGCCGTCCTCAGAGGGTAGTGGAGGGGGGTCTCAGAAGCACACGGCAGGGTCAGACCGAGTGGTCAACCCGGGCTGCTTTCCACCTCTGGGCTGGGTGGTTGAAACCCAACTGAAACGTTCCACTCTCCAATGAGCACACAATACTGACCTGGAGTTTCTTCTGCCGCCACTTGGCTTCTTGCGCTCCTCACGAGTAACAACCCACCCCCCTTTTCCAATTCTGCTGAGCAGGGAAAGGCCGTGGCCGGCAGGTCATTGCCGTGGCCCGGACGTCGGACGTGGTCATCATGATGCTGGATGCCACCAAAGGGGAAGTGCAGAGGTCAGTGTTGGGGCAAATGTCACATGACTCTCCCGAGGGTTGGAGGCCTTCCCCACCTGGAGGATTCCCACATTGAGGAAGGGGTTGTGCCAGGGTCATGGCTGAGCTGGGGCTGGGGACTATAGGAGTTGTTGTGCATGCCATCTGAAGGGTCGCAAGGCAGGGAGGAGTGTTATAGGTAACTGATAACTGAGCCAGAGCAAAAGGCAGGCCTGCGAGGGAGTGACAAGCCGTTGGCCTTTTCCTGTTTTGGCATCTGGGTGGATGGTGAACAATCACTTGTGGAGTTATTTCTTTACTTAGTAGTTCTCTTTCTTTACTCTAATGAGTTCCTGGCAGTGTATGTGGCTGTCCTCACCCATTTTACTCTCCTAACTCCATGTGAGAGGTAGATTAAGCTGAAGGGAGGGCGTGACTGGTTCTAAGTCACCCAGTGTGTTCCATGGCTCCGTGGGAATTCGAACCTGGGTCTCCTAGGGGCTACTTGAACACGGCTACTGCTACAGTGTGCTGGCTCTGGAAATAGTCCCTGTGGAGCCAGGAAAGGCTGCAGGTGGAACCTTCAGCTACATGGAAAAGTGCCCATTACTATTTTCAGCATTGAAATAGAAGTCTTGTGTGATTTAAATGTTCAGCGTATCGCTCATTAAACATTTATTCGTGCCAGTTCGTGGTATCTGCTTTCTGAACGCCCTGGAGAGATGGCTTTAAGGTTTGAAAAATAAATGCAGATGTTCAGAGTTTTTGCTCACATTCCTTGACTGTGCTTGGGCCAGTGGCTTTTTGGGACTACAGCATCCAGAATCCCCTAGCCATGCTGATCCACAGCCATAGTAGCTGGAGGTTTTGTGTGTTGTGGCGCCAAAGAAGGAACTTTCCCCCAGCTCTGCTCCAGCTGTGTTCGTGAGTTTTGTCACCCTTGGATTCAGGCGATGGATTCGTGATTTCTCCTCTCACCTCGGTTCTCTCTGCGTCCCACAGAGCCCTTTTGGAAAAAGAACTGGAATCCGTGGGCATCCGGCTGAACAAAAATAAACCCAACATCTATTTCAAGGTGAGATGCGGAACAGAGAGTTGGCAGTTGTCCTTGTGTGCTCATCAGCCTCCTCAGGGCCAATCTCCGATTCTTAGCAGACATGTCCGGGAAGAGACCGTTTCTCGGCTCTCAAAACCAACACCTTGGAGGGCAAAGTTGGGATCCAGTGCAGTTGGATCAGAACCATCAGGCTGTAACGGAGTTCTCCAAAGCACATGCCAGACCAGAGTCCGGCCACTGCCTTTTGCCCTAGGTGTAGATTCCGGACACTTTTGCATGTTTATGGATTTCGAATCTTACTCTAAGTGCGTCTTTCTCTCTCCTGCCTTTCAGCCGAAGAAGGGAGGCGGCATCTCCTTCAATTCCACCGTGATGTTGACTCAGTGTTCGGAGAAGCTGGTCCAGCTCATTCTCCATGAATACAGTATCCGTTTCTCAGCACCTCCTAGAGGATTGGGTGTTTGTATCAACTCTTTAGGGCACACGCTGAAATGACACCGTTTTGATATGGAAGAGAACCTGAGCGGCTTCCTCTGGAGCCGACTGTTACTTCTGAAACTTTAACTGTTACATCCTCAAAGATGGAAAGGTGGAGGGCATTAGGGAACGGGTGGTCAGATCATCTCTTTTTTTATGAAGATCTAGTACTCTTGAGGAGGCCAGTCCAGCCTGAAGCTCATCATAGTCTGTTGTGATCTGTCTGTGACGCAAAAGAGCTTAGATAAATGACACTTTCGATCACCATCTCCCAGAATCCGTGCAGTGGTTTCTCACCTGGAGTCCCCAGGTGTTCCTGGATTACAACTCCCGGAAATCATGGTCAGCACAGCTATACTGGTGAAGGCTTCTGGAGGTTATAGTCCCAAGCACATCTGCTTGGAAACTGCTGCCCTAGCCAGTACCGCTGTAGGGTTGGGCAAATCTGGAAGTTGCCATACTAAAATAACCTGTCCAGGCTCTGCTTGCCTTGCATTTAGCCTGCCAGGCAGGTTTTCCTCTGAGAGGGATTTGCTCCAGGTCACCCTGCCAGCTTTGTGCAAAGATGCCAGTTTCATTCCCATGTCTCAGCGGTCGAGGCCTGACCCGAACCAGCAAAAAAAGCCCCCGGTGCTCCCTTACTGATGCATTTAGCCTTAACTCTGCTCACCTAAGAAATCTTCAACGCAGAAGTGCTGTTCCGAGAAGACTGCTCGCCGGATGAATTCATCGATGTGATTGTGGGGAACCGCGTCTACATGCCTTGCCTTTATGTGAGTCGTTCACAGCAGGCCAGGAGACAGATCTTGGCTGTCCTCAATTAGGCGTCTTCCTTCTTCAGAACATTCCTTTTGCGCAGGGAAAGTGCCTTTAGCGGCTTTCCTGGTTTGGATGCAGCTGAATCAGCAGGTTCTGCGACAGTAATCTTTGATGGCTGCGCTTCCTTTGTCTAAAACCAATCTAGAGCAGAACATCTTATCCTGCATCTGCAGCAGTATATGTCCTGCGTTTCCAAACCAGTGTCATTTCACTGGAGGAGCTAAGCTTGGAAAAACAAAACACCAAGTTCCTGGCCCTTATGATCATGAATGTGTTTGGGTTAAAATGCAAAAAGGGTGTCAGAAGGAATGTATCCCCGGGGGGTGGGTGGGATGGGACCAGGATGCTGAGAAGGCCCCTTGCTTCCCCACCACCACCAAATAGAATCAGTTTATTTAGAATGAGTACCGGAGAGGGCATTTTAAGAAGTGAAGCAATCCAATCAGACAGATCCCTGCCCTCGGGGCTGTAGAACCTAAATCTAGGCTCTTGGCAAGAGAGGAGAGACTGGGTGGGCTGTTTGGTCTTTTGCACTGATAGTCCTTTTTTTTCTTTTCATCCCCTGCCTCCCTTGGCCTAGGTTTACAACAAAATTGACCAGATCTCCATGGAAGAGGTGGATCGCCTGGCTCGGAAGCCTCACAGCGTGGTGATCAGGTAAGGCGACCCCCACCCCCCCACCCCGAACCTTGTTGCTGCCATGGCCTGCTTCGTGGCGCTTTGCAGGACAGACTTTCTGGAACAAGAGCCATCCCGGAGTGGTTGTCTGCCAGCGGCTGACCAGTGAGTGTGTCTCCCTTCCTCTTCAGCTGCGGCATGAAGTTGAACTTGGACTATCTGCTGGAGATGCTGTGGGAATACCTGGCCCTCACCTGTATCTACACGAAGAAAAGAGGCCGTAAGTATCGCAGTCCAGGCGGGTGGCATCTTGAGAAATAGGAAGAGGCTAGCGTTCCCCAAATTTGTCATAAAGTCACCTCCGACTCATGGCGACCGTACGAATGAGCAATCTCCAAAATGCCCTGTCACGACTCATGGCGACCGTACGAATGAGCAGTCTCCAAAATGCCCTGTCCTCATCTCTTGCAAACTCAATCCTGTGGCTTCCTTTAGGGAGTCCGTCCCTCCTGTATTTGGTTTTCCTCTTCTCCTGCTGCCTTCCACCTTTCCCAGCATGATTGTCGTTTCCAGAGAAACCTGCCTTCTCAGGATGAACCCAAAGGAGGACAGCTTCAGTTTCAACATCTTTACTACCAGAAATAGTTCAGGCTTGATTGGATCTAGGACCCACGTGCTCATCTTTCCAGCAGTCCAGATTTATTGATGCTTTAACAAACTGTTCTCTCTCTCTCTCTCTCTCTCTCTCTCTCTCACCTCCTTTTGTAGAGCGGCCAGATTTTTCAGATGCCATTATTCTTCGCAAAGGGGCTTCAGTAGAACACGTGGTAAGTGGTGGATCAAAAACAGGGCCCCAAAGGCTCACTTCACCCAGCACTTCCCCACCCGCAGTATATATATACAGTGGTGCCCCACATAGCAACGTTAATCCATTCCGGATTAATCGTCGCTATGAGGAAACATTGCTAAACGGAACGGAAAAAGCCATAGGAATGCATTAAACTTTGTTTAATGCATTCCTATGGGGCCCAAACTCGCCGTTCAGCGAAGTTCCTCCATAGCACCGCCATTTTCACGCCCTCGGTAAGCGAGGGCAGGGCGTGAAAATGGTTGCAGCGGCCATTTTGGGCACTCGGCGGCCAATTTGGAGCCACCGATCAGCTGTTCAAAAAACATTGCAATGCGAAGATCGGTAAGCGAAACGCTTACCGATCATCACAATGCGATGTTTTACCCATTAAAACATCGCAATGCGATCGCATTCGCGATCTAAAAAATAGATCGCTATGCGGATTCGTCGTTAAACGGTGCGCTCGTTATGCAAGGCACCACTGTATATGTATATATATCCCTCAGGGGAACACAGGAGCATTCTAAGTGGGGCACAGGGTTTTCCTACTTCCCTCTGTCTCTCCTCCCTGCCTGACAACAGTGATGTGGTTGTCTTCCACCTGTGCCCTTTTGACAGGCTCACAGATAGCTATAACCACTCTGTGGTGGCATACACAGAGGGTTTGCAGAAGTCACCATGGCTCTCTGATGTGCCACTGGGCTTGCCACCCCAGCGCATCTGAATCGCCTCCCTTTCTTCTGTTTTCCAGTGCCATCGTATTCACCGGACGCTGGCCAGCCAGTTTAAGTACGCCTTAGTTTGGGTAAGTGTGCCGCCTTGAAGCCGGTGCGGGAGGCCAGCTTTGCCTTGCTGGCCACTTACCTTAAGTGAGGTCTCTGCCAGCAGTTGGGTGGAGTGGGCTGGACCTTTTCAGATGGCGGGTGGGAGAAGCCACTTTGAACTGCCACGCTCCAGCCACGAAACGGGTTCCGCCACCAAGAGGCTGAGATGGTGTCTGCCATTCCATTCTCACGTTTGCTGCTTTCGTTTGCATCGGGGGGGGAAGAGCAAGGCCAGAGTGCATGGATGAGAAGGGAGGTGTAGGATTCCAGATGGTACTGGACTATGTCTCCCATCACCCCTGGCCAGTGGTCAGGCTGGCCAGGGCTGCCGCGGGGGTTATAGAACCATAGGTAATAAACTCCTAGAATCATGGCGTTGGAAGGGGGCCTCTAAGGCCATCAAGTCTAACCCCCCCCCCCGCTCAAGGCAGGAATCCAAGGCAAAGCAGATCTGACAGAGGGTGGTCCCGTTTTCCCTTGAAGGCCTCCAGCATTGGAGCGCTCACCATCTCCCAAGATTAATTGATTTGACTTTTGTACCACCCGTCTAAAGCCACTCTGGGTACTGTAGTTTACAAGACAGAACATGAAAGACAGCAATTTAAGAACAATAAACAAAAGAGGTAGAGTGAAGCAAAATTAAACAACAGAGCACATTTGCAAAAGCAACATGGAATTAACTGGAAATAATTAAAAGTAATTTAAAGGCAAGAGGGGTGGAACTGATTATATGAACACTGAGACAATCACTGTGTGATGATGTTGTAAACTCCGGGAAGGCCTGTCTAAAAAGCCAGGTTTTCAATCATCATTTAAAAAATGGTTCCATTGTCATACTGCTGTAACAGTAAAGATGTTTTCCTTGATACTCAGCCAAAATCTGGCTTCCTGCAGCTCAAGCCCATTATTGCAGCTTCCCCGCTCCTGGTATAATAGAAACCAACTGTCTTAGCTTACCTGTTTTCATCCACGGCTACATCTCTGAATCCCTTCCACCATTACTATACATGACTTTAGCGCTCCCCTCTGTTGTGACTCCTCTGTCGATAGGAGAAAAGTCCTGTTGGTTCACACCAGCAATCGAGTTAGTCCGGCTCACTAGCCGGGCGGCTCTGGGCAGCCCACAGCCCAGGCAGAAAGGCCACCACCCGTTCTGGGAGCCTTGTTAACATCGAGAGCAAGCTTAAAATACTGTGAGCAAATGGATAGATGGAGAGGAATGCTTTTCTGGAAATAAAAGAGTTTTTTAAAAAGGTGGGGAGGCTTTTTCCAAGCTAAATTATGAGGTGAACTTACTCAAATCCTCCCTTTTAATTTCTAGGGAACCAGCACCAAATACAGCCCTCAGCGAGTGGGACTCAGCCACATGATGGAGCACGAAGATGTCATCCAGATAGTCAAGAAATAAGGCACCGTGGCTATCCCAGGCCCTGTGGATCGCTGCCACGGTTTAACACTAAGCTGTGTCGAAACAAAATTTTTAAAAAAGAAGAGCGGAAGTGGAGGCTCCCTCCCCCTTCTGGTCCACGTAAGCTTCCATGAAGCTTTGCTCGGGAGGGGACGAAAGATGACGGACTGGCTCACGAGTGAAAGAGGAAAGGTCTTGAGATGGCATCATTTTTAGAGCACGGTCTTGGGCGCCTTTGTGATGGTTGCCAGGGCGAGGGGATGATTGCTGAGGCCCTGTTAGCACCCAGGCTCCTGCTGCTGGCGTGGAAAGCAACCTTCGGCGTGTGAATCAACAACCCCGGAAGATGATCCAGTTTTTCCTTCCAGACGCGGTGGTTGGCAGGTGCAACCCACAGTCCATCTTTTTCCCCATCCACATTTCAGACGTTATCATGCCTGGGTTTCAGCATGGAAAAAAACACAGCCCACAATAGTCCTGTGAAAAGCGATCGGTTAATGATAAATGTCCACTGGATGACGTGAGCTTTACCCCCCTCTGCTATTAATGCTTGCGTTGTGCGGGCAATGGAAAACAACAACCCCTTTCGCCTTTTCTGCAGGATAAACAAGCAATCCTCCGACTGAAGATTTTTCTCTCCAGACCTATCATGAGGCTGGCCGTCCTTGGCTGAAAATAAGGAAGGATTCTTCTTTCTCTTTGGAATGTCTGAGATGTTAAATATATTGATAATTCTGGCAACGGTGGTTCTGTGTCGTCCTTCTTCCTTCCTCAAAGCAAAAAAAATTTCCTTAGGCAACTGCTTTTCTCTCATCAGTGGAGCAGGGCTGGGGTTTCCTCCACTGCCATTTATTTGAGCTTAAATCTCTTTCTATTTTGGATTTCTTTCTGGGACTCTGTGGAGGATTCAGTGCCAGCAGTGCTGACAACCCTCCGGTGCCGTTTAAGCCCCTGATCACGCTCTTTCGGAAACACCGTAAGGAAGAACGTGCTGTTCGCCGCAGAACAGGAGGGAAATAGAAGGACGCCCTTGTGTATCTTTTCGTTCACACCGTCAGAAGAACCGGTGCCTATGAGCGAGCCGGTTCGCTCAAATGTTGTGTTGGTTCATTGCCTGTTTGTATAAGAGGAGAAAACCAAATGAAGGCCAAGGAACATTCCCCCCCCCAAAAAAAAAAATCAGATAAAGGAAATTATAGGACATGTGCTGTATTCTGCCCCCTCCAGTGCTTTATATGAGCGCATATGAGTTCATAAATTGGTTTTAGCAGCTCACTATGAGCCTCTTCTGTCCTGATTCGTTTGTGAGATGGAAACGAACAGAGATGGGACTCTTTCCCTCTTCCAAAATAATTCTCTCTCTGCCAGGAAAGGCTTCGTCTTCCTCTCCAAGGCGTAGCAGCAGAGTGGTTCAAGAAGTTGGCCCGAATCACAGCCTGGCTCCCCTTTCTCCTTCTCCTGTTGATTAGGTTTGCTGGTGGTGGGTTGGGGCAGGCAGCCTCTGGCCCTCTTAGGCTTTGTTGCTCAAAAATACAGTTGTGTATTTTCCGGTAAATGAATAGTCATAACTGCTGGATTGCTCCGTGGTTTAGGCTCCTGGCTGTGGAGCCAGAGGTTGGGGGTTCGATTCCCCCTCTGTGCCTCCTTGACTGGGGCTGGACTGGATGACCTCACAGGTTCCCTTCCAGCTCTGCAGTTCAAAGATTATTATATAATAATTGTGAAAAGGACCTGCAGTGACCCAGCGCCTGTCTGCTGATGTCCCTGTCTTTCTCTCTGCTTCTTTCCACTAGTTGCGTGCAAGTGCAGTCAGGCAAGTCGGAAGAGGGGTTGCATGAGATCATCTAGTCCAGCCCTTCTCCCTCCCTTGAGTGCTGTCTCTTTGACACAACTGCCATGCCAGGCAGCTGTCCAACCGCTGCTTCCCCCCCTGTTGGGTGCAACAGAGCCTTCTCGTCCGTTTGAAGCAACTTTTCATAGAGCCAAAGACGGTTCCCTTGCCTCCTCCCACCTTCCCTGATTTTTTTTTTTGGGGGGGGGATTTATTTACAACCCGATTCTTCAGGGATGAAGAGGGTGGATTGGATTGGATTTATTTACAACCCGATTCTTCAGGGATGGGGGCCTGTGACTGAGCTTATAGCTTTCCTTTTCCCCAGTGGAAAGCCTCCGTTGATCAGTCAGCCGTAGAGCAATCCAACAGGTGAAGCTGTTACGCTTCCTCTTAAGCCCCTTTCCAGACCTGTCCCCAGAGACATCAGTGTGACCTCTGAACCCTGCACTCTTACATTTGGGTGTGGGTTTTTTTGTTGTTGTTGTTTGTTTTTTGTAATAACTCTTTTCCCAACCTCCCGCCTTTTAAATCTGTTTGACCATAACACCCATCTTCCCTAGCTGGATATGTTGTGATGATGGGGGCTATAACACACGGGGAGGAGCCCTCCCTTGACAGACGTTTAGATCAGGCTGGCAGCTGCAGCCATCCAGATGTGTTTGGACTACAACTCCCATGAATCTAAGGAGGTGATAAGGAATTATGGGAGTTGTAATTTTAAAAAAACATCTGGAGAGCCACAGTTGCCCACCACATAGGAAACCCAGCCGAAGTCCACCTGTTTTATTCTCGCACAACGGTCCTGCGGGGTTGAGACTTAGCCCAGGCTCATCCGACAAGTTTTGGCTCTCGAGGCTTCAATGCAGAGAGATGCTGGGGGTGGTCAGCTGCCCGAAAGATTGGGGACAAGTTCCCCGGGGCCTCCGGAAGGAGCCAGCACCTCTCTCTCTTTCTCTCTCTCTCTCGGCTTCCTGGACTGCTGCCCCGTTGCTAATCATTGCTGGCCGCCTGCGGCGAAAGGGCAGCTCCCTTGGCGCACGGGCGAGAAGAATAGGTGTCATCAAATATGCATGGAGGCCCCGACGAGCAGCAGGTGCCTCGCCGTGCAGGGTCTGGCAAGGCGGCGCTCGCTGGAGCCGAGGGCTCTTACCCCGGGATCCAGCTCCGATGCAGTTGGGAGAGCCAGGGGGATCTGCGGTGCCCGAGGGATGAGCCCGGTACCGGGGCGAGGTTGGGCTCAGCGTGGAACCTAGGCAGTCCTGGCCCAGGTGAGTGACGGAGCGTCCTGGAGGAGTTAGTAGTGGCGACACCCGATCTCTTTTCCTCTCCCATCAAATTTCCTCCAGATGCCGAATCCTGGCACCGAGGGGTTTAAGTGCCTGTTGCTTCTGTTGCCTGCCTGCCTGCCTGCTCTTTTCTTAACCCCCGCAGCCAGCTCGCCGGGAAGGGGATGATGTGGGTAGAATTGCTGGTCCCCAGGGCGCCCTTTGAGTCCCGTGGCCCAGTGAGGATGTTGAACCAGTACTTCTTGTCTGGTAGTTTGTCTCCTCTGCTGTTCTCTGGGCACATGGAACCAGCCGTGCCTTAAATGTCTAAGGAGTGTTCGCTGAGAGGTTGGCCATGGGTGCAAAATCACCCGGCCGGATCCTGTGATTACAGCAGATTTGGGTTTTTAGTGAAATTTCCCCCAGGAAATGATTCCTATGAGGATTTCCTCCCTTCGCTTCGCATCACAAAGGCTCCGGCGAGCTGGCCTTAGGGGTTTACCAGCTTACAGTGCCCCACGCGGGGCATCGTGAAAAGCGTTCTGGGCATCGAGATGGCGGGTCCCCTGGCTGAACACTCTTGCTCAGCAAGGGACCAGCTGTCCACGGAGACCACGTGGTGACGGCTGGCCCGTTTGTGGCTGAGGGAGGTTTTCAGGACCGGCTGTGCTATGAGGCAGAGCGTGCAAACTGCCCCAGGTAACAAATGCACCATTCCCTGGTTCTTCCCCTTTATGGAAGCGTAGAACGGTGCACTCCACGTAACCTCTATGGTTCTACTGCCCCTAAATCTCACCGAGGATTTTATGCTGTTGGTTCTCTACTCCAAGTTCCCAAATGTTGCTGGGCTTCAGGTCCAAAATCCTTGACTACTCGCCAGGCTGGCTGGATTTTTTGGAAGCTAGAATTCAGAATATCAGCAAACCAGAGACTGATTTAAAGACGAAAGACCCCCTAAGGAAACAGATCAGGGATATTTCCATTGCCCATCACCCACAGATGGTACACACAGACGCCCCGGCCACCGCCTGGCCCACTCGGACGAGACGGGCTCGCCCTTCGGTTTTTCGTGCTGTATGAATCGAGATCTTCTTTTCAGTGGCACCTCTCCTTATGTTTTGGTGACATGCAAGGGGCCACCAGCATGCTGTCCTTTTGAACGGGTGTGAAAATGTTTCCTCCAACTTTAGTGATTGAACAAAGCGCCTTGTGGGAGATGGGGGGTCGTGAAGGGCTGTTGTGGGCTCCCCGTTTCTCTTTTCTGTGGAAGAAACAGCCCCGGTGACAAATTCCCAAAGACTTTGAGGGGGTGTTTGGCCTCTGCGCCAACGATCCTGCGCTGTCCCTTTCCACCAGGCAGAGGGCCAGCGGTTTCTCTTGGTGGCCCTTATCAGGGTCAAGCATAATAGCTTTTCCTTAAGGAAAGCCACCGCAACAGGCTTGTCCGCTCAGCCGGCGTGGGTTGACGTCATGTGAGGGTTCTTTTCTTCCAGCCTTTTCAAGGCTTCCGCCTGCCGTTCCCTGCTCAAACTGGAATCACACGGGAGTGTGTGTGTGTGTTTTCCCCCCCAAGCACAGCACAAAAACAACTGTCGCTGGCCTGGGTTCCCCTCCAACGGTTCACCATCTCTAAGGCAAAGCTGGCTGGGGACGATGGGGTGTGTGGTGTCCAGGGTGAGATCTCCGGTTCCTAGGCTAGGCATTTTGGGCCACGAGAAGTTCATCATCCATAGCGGGGGGGGGGGAGGAGAGGGCTGTGAGCATCCCACTGATGATGCTGTTACTGCCTGTTGCCTTGGACTCTCTCAAGCAGCGAGAGGAGAGCCAGAAGGAGAGGGAACAGGATCTAGACTTTCCTGCCTTCTTCCTCTACATCAAGGGTGGGGGAAACTCCATTTCAAAGGAACTCCCCGGGACTCTCTTCCAGTGATGGAGGAAAGGTGGTTGTAAAAAACGTCCGCGTTTTTCCCCCTGTTGGGATTAAGTTTGAAAGGGAAGTCGTTCGACTTTTCTCTTTGCCATGAACGGCTCTAGAGAAGTTGGGAGGGTGGTGTGGTGGGAAACGGGGAAACGTCTCTTAAGAGAAGCTCAGGGGGTCCGGATTAGGCCTCCTCTCCTCCTGGGCAGCCGTCCAGGGCGTTTGGGCGCCTTGCCTCCCAAATGGCTTTTGCTGTTTTCCACTTCCATCCTTTGGCCTTCCCGCCTCTTTTGCAAAGGAGGTTGAGGAGGGCTTGCTCCAGAGAGCAGCCTGAATTCAATTGATCACAATAGCTTCGGTGTGTTTCAGGATTGCAGCCCCAAGCAACAAGGATGATCGAGGCGATCATTCGACGGGAATTGCGTCGGTCCTTCGAGTGACCCGAACGGGAGGGATGCTCGGTCTGCCATGCTGCTTCGTGGTCTCTGTTGTTTACTCCTCTTGGGCCTTGACGCGTGGGAGCTGCCTTCTGCCGAGCGAGGGCTGACATTGGCTGGGTCTCCCCGGGAGGGGGGTCAAGGGAAGCCTGCTCGAGGGGAAGCAACCGTTGCCAAGGGCCTCGGAACGGGTTGTAGCATCCCTGGACCGTGGGCGATGATGCAGAGAGAAGCCTACGGACGCTCACATCAGACCTTCTCGGCTCAGCTTCCCAGTTGGGATGGATGGGGTTTCTCGCATCTTTTAGTCCGATCGTCACTTCTGGATCGGCCGATTGATGGCCTCAACCAGCCTCTTTTGCTCTGAAATGCCCCACCAGGGGTGAGTGGGTCGAGGGATCGGAGACACCCTCTTTCGCTGCTGTCCGGGTGGTACCAGTGACTGATGGTGTGCTTTCCAAAAGGTAAGCCTTAAGGAAAACTGGGTTCGATTCTCAAAAGCTGCCAACTTGAGCTGTGTACACTGGCACATTCCCCATTTTTGACTGATTCTCATTTGGAAAACCCGCTTGGCTAACTCCTGCGAGACACGGACCGAGCCGGGGGGGGCAGGAAGTTTGGATCATAACCACCAACCTCCAGTTGAACCCGTGCATTTTAACCTCCTCCTCCTTCCCTTTATAATCCAGTCAGTAACAAGCTACGGTGACAGGGTTTACCCTACCCTGTTGGGTTGGGGTTTTTATTATTATTATTCTTTCCAAACACATTACTAAGGGAACACAAGCGAAATGCTACAAGCAATCTAAAATAAATCTCTG